ATAGTTCAGGTGTAGTTTCTATGGTCCAGGTGTAGTTTCTATAGTCCAGGTGTAGTTTCCATAGTTCAGGTGTAGTTTCTATGGTCCAGGTGTAGTTTCTATAGTTCAGGTGTAGTTTCTATGGTCCAGGTGTGGTTCCTATAGTCCAAGTGTGGTTCCTATTGAAAGAAAAACAAGTAAAACCATAATTAAAAATACAAACAGGAAGAGTAGAGCAAGTAAAAACAGCAGCAGAGAGAAGAAATGTGCTCAGTTTGTCCTCCAGCAGTCTATGCCTCTAGCAGCAGAACTAAGGGATAGCTCAGGAACCCAAGCCAACCCTAACTATAGGATTTATCAAAAAGGAAAGTCTTCAAACTGGACAATGTGTCAGCCTCATGGACAGAAACTGGAAGTTGGTTCCACAAGAGAGGAGACTGAGAACTGAAAGATCTTCCTCCCATTCTGCTTTTGTAAACTCTAGGAACCACAAGTAATCCTGCAGCCTGAGAGCGAAGTGCTCTGTTAGTAAAATATGGAACAATAAGATCTGTAATATAAGATGGAGCTAGGTTGTTGAGGGCTTTGTGTGTTACAAGGTTTTAAAGTCCATGCTGAATTAAAATATTGTTGGTTTTGAACGTTGCAAACTGGGTCTAGTGATTTTAGTTCATCTCCAACATGAATCATCTTGTGCTTCTTTAAGGTCGAACTGATAGATATTCTAGAGTTGTGACTTTATAAATAAACTGAATGGAGAAGCCAACAAGCTGCTGTTGACTTTTCCACTTCAACACATTTGCAACACGTTAACATTCACCTCCGAGCGAGCCTCAGCTGCCAGGACGAACTCATCACTCCTGACTGTCTCATTAACGTGAGTTGTTGTCAAGTCGTGTGAGTTGAATTTTAATTATGAACGCGGTTCCTTTAAGTGAAGGGTAGTGTACAGCTGGGTGGAGGTAACAAAGCTCTAATTATCCAACACTTGCAGAGGAATGCTGAAATCATCAAAGAAGAAAACTAAACCCTGAACCAGTTGTAAAATATGGAAAGGTGAATCGTGCTCAGCGTGACGATGTGCGTTTTCATGCAGCTGATTGTTTGTTGCTCCGTTTATTAATATGTGTTTACATCGATATAATCACTTCATGCTGATTTAATATATCAGCCCCACGCTAGTCCCGTAATTAGTCGTAAATAATTACACCGAGGTGGTTTTACTTTCCATTATTTTTACCGTGTATCATTTTTTAGCTACATTACTTAATAATGACTTGTTTATTGCCTTTTGACAACTTGATTGTTTTACCAAACAAACTATAATGAAACGGCTCAAAACTGCTGCTTAACATGGCGTCTGTAGCTGTACGGTTTAATTTTCTGTTTTATATCAAATAAAGTCAGAATCAGGAAGTGGAACAACAACGTAGTAAGAAGTTCAGTTCTGCACTTATTTCATGGTTTTAATGGCAAAACTTTGTTTTACTGCTTTTATTTTTATATATTAAGACATTTTAATTTTATCACGCATCCAAATGACGTGGAAACAGTCATTGATCTAAAAGTCTGTTTTAATAAAAACAAACTGGTCCCTGATGGTTTGAAATGAAAACCCAGTTTGTGTTTTTCATTCTGCTCTCACTCGGGCGGCGCCGGTCAATCAATCGAAGCCTGCGGTGAGTTATTAGATCAACAACGACGTGTTTAGTGCAGCATGAAGAAAACAAAGAGGTGCCCTGTGTCCACAGGAGCCCACGTTTAATCAACACACAGAGACGCTGAGGCTGACGGACGTCTCGGGGACAAACAGACCGCAGTGACAGCGAAGGGACGGCCCGCTGCTGTAACTCACACCCTCTAAAAGTCTTTTCAAATCACCGCTCCAAGGAGCGATGAAGACGAGGTGAAAGTGTGGAGGGGGGGCTGAGAAACTGTGTCAGTTGCTGGCATTTGACTCTGCTGTCCACAGGAGAGTCAGTTATAGAAATACAGCCGACATAGGATGACGGGGGGTGGGGGGGGCTGACATTTGAAGAAAAAAGAAGGTGAGGACGGGAATAATGCATGAGCTGCGACGCTGTGAGCGAGGAAGAACTGTATCCACCATGTTTGACCTCCGTGGGGAGCGGGGCTCAACATGCTGGATGAGGAAGCAGGACGGACTTCCACGGGCGCCAGCCTTCAGCTGATGGTCAGGAGGCTTCGGCTGACACATGCTGAAGCTTCAGTCCATCACGCCGCCTCTTTAAACTCGAACCTGAGACTGAAACCAGCTCGAAGAGTCTGAGAATCTCTTCCTGTTCCCTGGACATGAGGTCGCTGTCGTTCAAGTATGGAAGCACGCAAAATGTCACAAGATGCTTTGTTCAGTTTGTTTCACATGTGAGATCCACTGTTGTGTAGACGACAAGCAGCTCTGTTTGTGGGTGAAGCTGAGAGGAATAATATGAGACTAAAATTATAAAAGTCATGTCACTGAAAACACCAGAATCATGAGCGACCCATGATTTAAACCTTTGGCGCCTACAAAATGCATCATAATGGTATTGTTCAACATGACCGAAGGAGAAGTTCTACTTCAGACGAGACGGGTCTACTTCCTGTGTTTCAGACTTTGTAGGACGTGATTGGGAGGTGGAACGGTTGCAGCACTTTGTGTTGCGGACGTTTGAACTCAAACGTAGCTCAGAACATGCAGCTTTAAGAGTTTATCTTCTTTCAAGTGTCTGTTAGCTGCTAGTGTGAATCTACACTTGTCATGTGTACGACTTTATGATTTGTTCATATTTTATTGTTAATTATATCCTTTCGGTTGGCACATTGCTTGTTTAAGTCTTGCTTTGACTTTGTGAAGCCCTCTGCCTTACGCTTGTATTTAAAAGAGCTACACTGATAAAGTTGAGTTATAAAAAACTAATTTTTTTACAAAGTCCCAGCTCCATACATTTTCAGATAATCTATTTCTAATTCTTCCGTAAGCTGAATGATATAAATTCAATGCTACAGCAAATTGGTTAGTGGACATGACTTTAGGCCTGAGCGCTCTTTTGATGATGAGTCTTTTTTTTTCTGCTTCAAAGAGTCAATTTAAGCTTTTAACCTTTGCTAACCCAGCAGCTCGCTCAGAAAATAGAGCAGGACACGAAGTACAATGAAGAGCCGGAGAAAGAGGAGAGCCGCGGCGTAATGAAGAAAACATTCACGACCTAATCTTCATTTTCCAGGAGACGGAGTCAGAAAAGCTCCACAGATGTTTGAGGAAGATGAAAAGCAGACGTGAATCATTCTGGTTCATAATTCTGGTTCATAATTCTGGTAAAGAATCCGAGTCGACGAAGCAATGGAAGAGCGTGGAGTAAACGGCACGTTTAGCACAGAACGACTGTAGAACATCTATAGAACAATAGAACCGCTGTAGAACTGTAGAACAATTGTAGAACATCTATAGAACAGCTGTAGAACAACTATAGAACAGCTGTAGAACTATAGAACATCTATAGAACAGCTGTAGAACAACTGTAGAACATCTATAGAACAACTGTAGAACAACTATAGAA